ATGAAATAGCAACTCAAATACTTTCAATTGGTATAAAAAAATAAAAATCAATTTTTTTGGCGTAAGGTCCCTTTCACCGCGTCAGGACACATATGATTATATTAAATAGTATGGATGTGTATATTAAATAAATAAAACAAAGATATGCGGAGTCGACGAGTACAGGCCAAAGCGGCCCGATCGATAACATATTATAAGAAAAAGTACACAACGTTGTTATTTCATTTATTCACGTTAGAATTATCAAATGTATATTATTGTTAAAAAAAAATAAATGAAAAAAAAAAAAAAATTAGTTGGTTAGGATGTTTCTTTCTGCGCGGCAAACCCAGGTTCAATTACCAGTCCTTCCAAATTTATTTCAAAACTTTCCTCCATTAATTAAATTGTTATATACCTTTATGCGCATCAAAAAAAAATTAAAAATTTTTTTAAACGAAATTTATTTTATCGAATAGTACATATTTCGATGTACTTGTATATAAATTTTTATTAAAAAATATTAATAATTGTGGAAACTGTAGACTTTGCACTAAAACATCTTTTTTGATAGCTGCTTGCGGTGAATGCGATAAGTCAGAGAGAGAGAGTTTAACTAAAATTAAAAAACAATGGGAATTTCGTTACTATATTGTATTTACTATGTAAGATTACAGTAACGTTATAGTAAAGTTACGATATTATAAACATACATATAATAAATTATAAATGTATAAATTTTACTATATATCATAAAATTTTTTTACAATAAATTATGTATTTTCTTATACAGCTGCGAGACCCTGATAGGATTTGACTTAATAAAATTTACTGCGCATCCGTAATTGCCTTAGGAAGCTACTGCGCATAAATATTGTTTAAACAAATTTATTAATATTTTATTCTTACCATTTTAGCTTACCGTAAACTTACTGTAAGCTTACCTTGTGAAAGCTTACAATGACCTCACAAAGTATGTTTACAGTGACCTTACCATGTAAGCTTGCAGTGGGTTTACCTTTTAAGGTTATTGTAGGCTTACTGTGTAAGGTCACTGTATGGCGGACATTTTAAGTATACCTTAAAGATACTGTAAGTTTACATTGTAATATAACAAAACTTAGATATAAGTTTGCTGTCAACTTGTAGTAAGTTATTGTGCTGTGTGGGCACCGTAACCGAAGTTGTCAAAAATGACGGTTCCGAGATTCTCAAACATGTTTTTTATTACGAAATTTATTTTATATATTTCAAACTTTTTATACCTAAAAGAAGGGGTTTTAAACTTTAAAAAAAAATTTTTTGTTTCTTTATTACAGATTATCTTGCTGTCATAGCCGCCTGCAAATACCCCTACTTGTGATTGTCGGACACGATATCTCCAATTCAGGTCATCGAAAAACAAAATTTTTTTAATTTTTTTAAAAAAATGGTTAAATATTAATAAAAAATTATGATTGTAGTTCCGGCGATAGCGGTATATGAGCAGTATAAGCCTTAAAAATTTAAATTTGTGTCCGCCAGGTCACAAAACGTTGTTTTGAGAAAAAGCTAATTTACGAAAACATGTCTTTTTCCAGAAAATACCCCCTTACGCGTCAGGATATATTATATACATGTATATATGCTTTTATATACATATTTATATACATATATGTGTAGTTTAATATATATATATATATATATATATATAAACATACATTGTGAACGCGAAGAGTACGCTCCGTGAGCGCGTGACTTTTATATTCACTGCAAACAGAAGTATCTTATTTTAAGATGTTTTGGTAGCATTAAGATGTTTAAGATGTCTTAAAAACGCTACCAAAAGATCTTAAAATAAGATACTTCTTTTTGCAGTGTTGTACCCCGTTTTTCGATATGTTACTGAAGTTTCCAACCAAAATAATAGTTTCCATAGCATTTCTACATATATCTACTACAAGAATTTGCAGTTTTTAGAAAATCGATTTTTTTAAAAAAAGATGTGGTACTAACCCCTTAAAGTTTCAAGCGTATATACTCTTCTTTGAGAACATTCTGCAGAGTATGTACTTTTGATACATGCAATGAAAAAAAATCAATTTTTTGACCCATGAAAAGGTATACAACCGCTTAATGTTAGGGATAAATAACAAGCAACGCAACAATAAAATAAATAAATAATTCTTTTTTATCTTTAATAAATTTATAAATTTTATTTTTGAACTTATTCACAGTGGGGAAAAAACTATGTTCTGCGCGGCGAACCCAGGTTCAATCCGTAGTACCTCCAAATTTATTACAGAAATTTCATCCATTAATTAATGTTAGGGATATGTAATATATGGTCTAGCCGAAAAAACTAATGATTTTTTTGTAAAATATCATTAATTGAAGTTCAACTTAAAATTTTGTGCATTTGGGCGTTAATGGGTTAACGCAAAGAAAATTTTTTGTCCTTGAATTGGGTTTCATCGTTTCTCAAATTCAAATAGTGTCACATTTTTAACACTCCTTATTTTATTTAATATTGACAAAATCACTTGACAAAAAGTATTTTTCACCTTCATTGGTAAGCAATATCACATTTGCTTTTTATTGCCTGGTACAACTTAATTTTCTTTATTTTTACGTTTAAAAAGTTTTACGAATTGGACCAATACAATTTCCTAATTCAGAAATCTATTCGTCAATTTGCTTTTCTCGAATTCAAGAAACGTCGGTTTAGTTCAAAAGCCACTATTGCCTAATTCTTTCCTTTTTACAAGATACTATTTTTTTGTTAATTATATAAGCACTAAATTTTTTATTTTTACTATAATACTGAATATTTTTATTATCAATTTCGGGAAACATTTTTTTCTCAAATCAGATTATGTTATCTGTTGTAAATAATTTCTCTTAAATAAAGTGGACACCTGTTCAGAAATGTTATCTATTGTATGTGATATTATATATATGTAACACTTGCGTATATAGATAAAAAATTAATCTTTACAAAAAATTCTATAAACTAATATTGCTCTACCACTTGCATTAATTACAATTAGGTTTTTTAAAAGAAATTGTGATTTAATTTCCATAAAGAGAATAAATAACTATATTTATAAGTAAAAAATTTATTTAAAGAACCCAGACAGAAATTAGAGACTGGCATACAAAATCGTATGGGCAAATCCACAGAACCGGCCGATTTTTACTTATCAAGATGAAAATTTTCCAAATAGCAAGCACACCTTTTATTTATGGTTTACTTTCTTTAAAATATATTCAAGAACAATTATCTTCTTGCGTGATTCATTTTATTTTAATGCCGTTTGAGTTAAAAGCCAAAAACGAAAATATTATTTTTCTTCTGGAAATTATAATTAAAAATGGCATTTCTTTGTTTTTTTTATATATATTATTTGAAATATGTGCAAAACATTTTGAATAATAAAATATGATAAAATACAAATAATTAATTTTTTAATTATCAAAAATAAATTATTTATATTTTATCATATTTTATTATATATTTTATTTATTAGCATTTAATTTTTTATTTCTGTAAATTAAATTGTTTACTTACTAATTTTGATATTAACTATTTTAACCAACAAACTGACATTATTGACATCGATTTTGATATAACTTTGAAAATAAAACAAATGAAAGGATAATTCATTTTTCACGATTAACTAGTTAAATTTCGATAAATTTTTTTTTATTTTTAATTTTTAGACGTTATAAATTGAAAATATAATTTGGCGTTTGCATACAAGAATTATAATAATGTCTTTATATAATCACACATGTTTTCAACTCATCATATTTTATCCTGTAGTTGTGCTACTGAAAAAAGGCTAAGTTGAAAATGGTTCACGCTTAAACATAGAGTGATAATTATTGGAATATTTTCTTTAATTCTGATTGCACTCTATTCTATGATACATACATTTGTTCGTCTGTTCACAAGCAATAAGCTCCAATTTGAAAAATTCAAATCGAATAATCGCCGCAAAAGATATTTACAAAAATGTATAGACATTTCATTATTATAAAATAATGAGTAACGCTACTTTCAACGACTATCATTTCTTTTTATTTAAGAGCACATATTTTTTATTACTTTCAAAACATTCTTCAATAAGTAAACTATAATTCACCACAGTTTGGAATTGTTCGGATCTATGCCGAACAAGTTACACCTATAAGAATTAAAATTTATACCTGGAGTAACACCGTAAATTTCATTTTTTAAGTTACTTAATTCGATTTTATTTTTTATAAAAGACTAGAAGGTTCACATTTATTCAATTTTCTTATTTCAATAGGTTCTCAGAGATATTACAAAATGGTTGAAGTATGAAAATAATTAATATAATACTTCTAAAATAGAAAAATATGTGAGTAACATGAAATCGGCCGGTTCTGTGGATTTGCCCATACGTATTTGGAACAGGAATTTGAATAGGAAATACTGTAGGAATTACCATTAGAATCCACATCATATTTTAAAATCCAGCGCAGTAGTTTTCTACAGCTTTTTCAGCTGCACCCAATATTTTTTTATATTTTAGGAACCTTCTAAATCAAAAAATACATTTATTGCTTAAAATTAAAAAAATTAATACATAGGAATTTACCTGGGATTTCATAAAAGTTTCATCATGGATCTCATTCATATAATTCTCCTGATGAAAATCCCTGTACAAGAAAATGTTCAAGTTATGGTAAGTTTACACGAAGATCACTGTAAGCTTAGAATATTATTAATAAATAAATGTTATTAATATTTATGCGTAGTAGTTTTTTATGACATCCATGACTGCGCAGTAAATTTTATTGAACAAAACCTATTGGAGTCTAAGTACAGTACTTTACCCTATATGTATCATTTTGATAGCATTGTACAGAATTCTACAATTATAACTCAAAAAAGGCATAACTAGTATAAACATATAATTAACTTTTAAAAAAGTTAACATAGTCATATTAGAATTATTTCTTGTGAGATAATTTTTATCAATATTTTTATCAATATTCAATTCATAGGACGGGTAAAAGATTGCCGCTGTAATATATAAAGAATAGCTCTATTAAATGGGTCAGTAATCGTTATAAACTACAATAAAGCAATTGACATTCTACAAAAGTCTTTGTTTTAAAAATGAAACACCTTGCAATTGGTGAGTTTTAAAAAGTAATAAATGTTAAATATTATCGAATTTATCACTTCACGAACGTGTATTAAAATTAATTAATGTTTTTAAAGTAATGTAAATAATATTTTTGAATTTGATTAAATTTAAGAGAAAACATTGTTTCATACACGAAAAAAACGTACCATTTATTATGCCAAAGAAAACTCACACTGAAATCGAGGGTTCCGTACACGAAGCAATCTTATTTAGTATAAAATCAAAATTTTAGAAAATTGTTTCTCTTCGTATCGCTTACATTATTTGACATACAAAGCTTATATTTTTTTGAACAAGTACTTTCCCAGGTCAAAGTTTTCACGTGGAAGTGCATGTGGAAATTCATGTATTTTTTGTAATAATCTACGTGGATTTCAATGTACCTACGCGAATTTTACATGGTATTTTGAAACATTATACGTGACTTAAGGAAAAAGTCCACTTCTTTCAAAAAAAAATTATTTTTCAAAAAAAAACTTAATTGGAGTAACTTCCTCTTATGTCTGTTATATTTTTTATGTAATCTACTAGTGAAAATACTGAAGATTGTCGCATTTTCCTTTTTTAGACAAAGAACCCACATAGCAGAACATATTGCAGTAAGATTATCGTGTCATTATTTATGTAGATTGTAAGGTTACACCTTTCCAGTGAGAAATCGTCAATCAAAATGACGTCAATTTTAATTATTATTGTCAATGATCAAATTCTCAAAAAAATTTGACGAAATTTTGACGATCAAAAATTTTAAGAAAAAATATATCTACTAACTAATATTACTGTTTACTGATAGTATTTTCTAAATATTTTTAAATTTTTGCAAGTCCATTTGCATTATTTGTTTCAATTATACTAAAAGAAAGAAAAAGAAAAAACTGATCTGAAATATTAATTAAACTAATTATAGTTTAAAAATAAACACATTATTTATTTATTACAATAAACATAAACCTTTATTACATTATTGCAATGATAAAATAATGGATATAATATTTTGGTGCGTCATTTATTTATCACAACCATATGCATAAACCTGATTGGATACCACAATCAGACAGATTGTGGACTTACACTTTCTACGCTTTTATTGATCGTCTAGACAGCCCTTCTAGAAAAAATCGATTGAAAACAATAGGTCTACAAAAATAATTGAATTGAATAGGAAAGAAATTTCTATTGTCCCAATCGTGTTTCTTAATCGTGTTCTTACAATTGAGGACGATTGACTTTCTTATTATATTCAATCGTTTTCAATTGTGTTCTATAGATTGTATTCCATGCACTATTGTTTGGCGGGATTTTTAAAAAAATTTAAAAATGCAATTAATTAAACAGTCTAGAAAAATATTATTTCAAAGATTATTATCTGATCTAAAAAATTAAAATATTTATCAATGAATTTGTCACCATAGAAGAAAATCATATTTTTTGTCAAAAATTAATTAAAAGTTATTTTTTAATTTATATTTGAATGAAGCTGCACAATACGAAATGTTTATAATTTATCGAAAAAATGTTTAAAAAATAATTTTTGACAAATACATCAAGTTTTGTTTTAAATTGAAATTTTTATTAATTGCAGAAATTTTTTTAAATTTCAGTTAACCCAGTCGAAAATCCTACGCTATGTTAAGCTGAACAAAAAGTTGTTTTGAAGTATTGAGATAACCATTAGAGAATTGTGAGACAGTAGATAACTAGCTATAGAAAACTTTCAGGAAGCCTGTTATGGCCGATTTTTCGCTTCCACGGAAAGCTTGAAAATAACAAATTTTGTACGTTTTAAACAAAGCATTCAAGTAGCTTTGAGAGAGTTATCAAAGAGTTGCAGGATTTTGCATATATAAAAAGAAAGCGTTCAGGTGGCGAAAATTAAATGAAGCGTCATGGATGTTTCAGGAAACAGCGGAAAAATGACAATGATCAAAAATTAAATTTAACCTTTCTTTCCATCTTTATTTATCTCGTAAAAATATTGTTGTCAACCAAAATTTGTAAATAAAAATACGCTGTTAAATTCATTTTCATAAATTATGAAATTCTAAAAGAATAAAGAATATATTATTTATAAAAAATATTAATAAATATCAAGTATAAAAATAATAATCTTTTTTTTTAAATATTAAATATTTTGTCTTTTTTTTAAGAAATTGTATTCATTATTCAATATAAAAAGTTTTCACCGTGTTCGTATTCCTAACCCCAAATTTTGCTCAAGTTATATATAATTTTTTTCGTATATAATTTAAGTGTTTATAAATAAACGTTTTCTTTGAAAAATAATTTTTATATAATATATAAAGAATAATTATTAATTGTATAAAACGGATTTACAAATTACTATAGAATTTTTATGATTTTTCGATATAGTTTAATTTAATGAAATTATTCTAGTTTTCAGAAAGTGTAAAAAAGGTAATTAAATTACATATTAATTTGCAACTTGTGAAAAGCAAATAGAATTGCTTTCTTACACATTAAACCAGGCATTAGGAAAGCATTCACCAAGCAAACTGGTAGACCTTTTGCTAGAAGCTGTCCACAGATATTCAACAAGCTGTAGAAAAAGCTTCCCGTTAAGAAGTCAGAAAGCAAATATCACAGAATTTTAGGTCTAATGTATAAATAGTTGCCATGAAGCTTTTGAAACCTTCATAACAGTTACCTGAAGGCCATGTGAACCCTTCAGGGAAACTTACGATTTTCGACTGGGAATATTGAATTTTTTTTAAATAATCGAATATTGGAAGATTTACAATAATTATAAGATTCGTAGAAATAATTAAATTTCAGGTGATTTTTAATTGAAAAATTTTGAAAATATTTTAATGAATGAAAAACTTTATACAAATGTAACGGGTTTAACATCCGTTTCTAGCACTAAATAAGTTTGTAAAGAATTTTAATTTGAAATTTTTAGAAAAAATTGATAGGGTAAATGCACTAATTGCGGCGCGATTCGAGTCAAAACACCTTTAAAATAGAAAATTCGACATTTTATATTGTATAAAGTCAGTTTAAGACTTATTAAACTAAAAGGTTATGTTATTTATATGTTTAAAAAAATTTAACTCTATAAAAATCGATTATTTAAACAAATATGAGAAATTAAAATTAATGCCGTAATTTTCTATTGCGGCGCGTTTGTATCAGTTTCGGTGTATTAATTTCGGTGACGAAAATTATGTGAATTTGAAGATACTTTGCCCGCCGAAATTGGAGCCAATGAAAATCTTAAAAATGTTTCAATTGCGGCGCGGAAAAAAATTTCATCTCAAATAATTAAATTGAAAATTGTTTAAATGTGCATCTTTATAAGTAATTGTATCAAAAAAAGATTGAAATAATTTTTTTTAATCATTTTGCAACAGTTATATTAAATATAATAGTAATAATAGTTATTTTTTATGAACGCTACCTAATTGATGCACTCGCCGTAATTAGTACACTTACCCTATTTCGAATAGTTGCAATCAAAGTTTTTAATAAAAAATAATTTTTCTTTTAAATTTATGATAAAATTTGCAAAAAGTATTAGTTAACATTTTTTACAAATAAAATAATTACAGATTTTAATAGAAGTAATTCAAATCTGGAAGAGTTAGAATTGAAAGTTTTGACTTATTAATTTTAAATAATTAAAATTTTGTAAAATTTAATTAAAAATTTGAAAACAATTTAACTTTTTAAAGAATTTGATTACAATTTTTTAAAATATTTAATTGAAAAGTTATGGTTTTTTGTTGTCGCAAGAAGTTCAGGTGAATATCGAACAAAATTTATACTGAATAATTTTTTTGTTAAATTTTTTTGAAAAGCTGCTGGACACCCAAAGTTTAGAAAAACTAAAAATTTGTTCTAAAAAAAATGAAAACTGGAATTATTTTAAAATGTAAGAAATATAATTTTTTCTTATATTTATTTTTATATGTACCTAATTATTTATTTAATTTCTGTTTACATGTATTTTTTAAAATACCCATTTATTTATTTTTATTTTTTTGAGGTTATGTATTAACAACTCAAAGGTTGTCATACTTAATTTGTTCATATATAGGATAAGTAAATATATTGACATTTTCCATATCACTAGGAATTTTACTTTAGATTTTTAATATTTGACACATACGCACGAACAGAACAAACTATGTATTACAAAACATTTAGAAGAAAAACATCGTTCCTGTTTGATTCAACACTTTTCTTATTCTTCTTATTAACTATTTGCGCATATGCGTATATCGTTCTCTCGACAGCACCCGATTAAAAACAATTGAAAAAGTATAACTTATTTTGCACGATTGAAAACAATTCGAATCAATTGAAAAAATATATACTCTAATTAAAAACAATTCAAAACGATTAAAAAATTTTTGTACTCAATCGTTCTGAATCGTGTTCAATTGATTTTTTCTAGAAGGGAGTCTTCGTAAATTACATAAAAAATATTTTTTGACATTGAAAACGAAATTTTTTTTGAAAGACATACACTGAAAAAAATGTTGCCGAGAAATTCTACTACCATTGGGTAATTGACTAGAAAATAGTTAAAATAGCCACTTTTTTAGTTAATCTAATCATGTTCATGTAGTTAATGTAACTATTTTTAAGAAGTTAATAAGTAACACCGTCCGACAAAATTCAACTTTTTTTTTGACCCACAAAAAAATCCAACATTTTTGGAAACTAGGACCCAAAAAAAATACCCGTGTCTGACCGTTTTGCTAGATCAAGTCTTTTGTGGTTTTTAGGGGTGAAAACAGCCCCTAAATAAAAAGTGACAAGATATCTTTTAAAAATTATTAATATTTTATAAAACTTGGTATCTGGGTGTTTTCGGGGTCGCTGATTATTAATCTGATGTCAGATTTTCAAAATTCAAAATGGCGGATTCAATATGGTGGTCAAAATTTTTAAAAGTTATTAAATTTTTTTTAAACCTTGATATCTAGGGGTTTTTTGGGTCGCTGATGACGAATCTGATGTTAAATTGTCAAAATTCAAAATGGCAGAAATAAAATAAAAAATTAATAACTTTTTAAAAATTTGATCGCCATATTGGATCCGCCATTTTGAATTTTGAAAATCTGACATCAGATTAATAATCAGCGACCCCGAAAACACCCAGATACCAAGTTTTATAAAATATTAATAATTTTTAAAAGATATCTTGTCACTTTTTATTTAGGGGCTGTTTTCACCCCTAAAAACCACAAAAGACTTGATCTAGCAAAACGGTCAGACACGGGTATTTTTTTTGGGTCCTAGTTTCCAAAAATGTTGGATTTTTTTTTGGGTCAAAAATTGTGTCGGACGGTGTAATAGTTGATTTTACGTAAATATGTAGTAAATACAACTACAGGTCGGTAGTAAAATTAACTTTCTTAAGGTAGTAAAAACAAGTGGAATTGTAGTCAACTCAAAATTTGAAGAGTAGTAAATCCAATTACTATTCACCAGTTATATGAAATGTAGTAAAAGAAATTATTTTCTTTAATTAATATAACTGCTTTTTGAGTAGTAAATTTTTTATTAATTTCTATGATTTTATAGGCTTCAATAAAATTCTTGTTGTAGAATTAACAAGTCGTCTGTAATTAAAACTACTACTTTAAGTAGTAGATTTTTACTATTTTAATTAATTCGATAATTTTAAAGAAGATTTTTGATGTAGAAATTACAAATCGTTTTCAGTTAAAACTACTACTTTAAGTAGTAGATTTCACTACTCAAAGTGGTACAATAGGCTTTAAGAACATTTTTGTTGTAGAATTAACAAATCCTTTGTGATTAAAACTACTACTTTAAGTAGTAATTTTTTACTATTTTGATTAATTCAATAAGCTTGAAAAACGTTTTTGATGTAAAATTTACAAATCGTTTCCGATTAAAACTACTACTTTCAGTAGTAGCTTTTACTACTTTAAGTGGTTCAATAGGCTTTAAGAACATTTATGTCTTAGAATTAAAAAATCCTTTGCAATTAAAACTATCACTTTAAGTAGTAGATTTTACTGCACTATGCAATTAAACAACTTATAATATAATTAAAAGATGAAAAATTTACAAGTCAAAACTTAGAAAGGATAGTTATAGCAACTAATAAAAGTAGTAAAAATGACTACTTTAAATAGTTATATTACCAATTGGACAAGCAGAAAGTAGTCTTCGAGTAGTTTGCAGACTGTCGTAGCGAGCGTGCGTGGTTAGTCGGTTAAGGTATCGGATTGCGAGCGTTTGGGTCGAGGGTTTAATTCCCGTCGGTTAGAAATTTTTTCTGTTAGGTACATAATCGTTAGGGCATAAAATAAGCGTCAGTATAGGAGAGAGGATGAAAAAGTCAATTCTACTGATAATAAACAATTATAAATAAAAAATCATTTTATTTTTCTATTTTAAGTAGTAAAATCTATTACTTAAAGTAGTAGTTTTAATTGCAAAAGATTTATTAATTCTACAAAAAAATGTTCTTAAAGCCTATTGAACCACTTTCAGTAGTAAAGTTTACTACTTAAAGTAGTAGTTTTAATTCAGTTGAGGACCTATTGTACTACTCAAAGTAGTTAAAAAGTAGTAAAACCTACTAGTTTTTTTTCAGTGTAATTTAGACGCTTATTAAATATTTTAAATAATTATAAAATAAGAGTTAAATTATATGTGAAATAATTATCAATATAAATTTTTATTTTCAGTTTTCTCAATTTTCTTGTTTATAAACGTTAGTCAATCTACACCTTTTAAGGAATGCAACAAGGGACAAAGACCTCCTACGAATCTCAGAATTAACGGTTGTGAAGACTTTCCTTGCAAAATTTACAGAGGAAAAAATATTACTGCAGAGTGGGATTTTATTGTCAGTAAGTAATTATTGGAAATCATCTAACATCATAAAAACGTTTTAAAATGTAAAATAGCTTTTTACAGATTTGAATAAAAAATTATGTATTTACATTAAGAAGTCACTTAGGCATACACGGAGAGACCGCCGGTTGGAAAAATTACTAAAAAGATTTACAAGTAGCGGAAATAAGGTTACTTTGTCATATATTGCTGTAGGAAATCGAAAATTCTATTAGCAGCATACTTAATAAAACCTGTATACTATAGTAAAATTGCACACAAATTGGAATAGAAATTACTATAGTCTACAGTTTTATTAAGTATGCTGCTAGTAGAATTTTCGATTTCCTACAGCAATATTTGACAATGTAACCTTATTTCCGCTACTTGTAAATTTTTTTAGTAATTTTTCTAACCGGCGGTCTCTCCGTGTACATTTATTACAGCCGTTCATGATTGATTGTTAGAGTTTCGTGACCCAGACCCGAAAGCCCCATAGTTTCGCTTTGGCGTCCGTCCGTCCGTCGTACACTACCCTACTGAAAATTCTCATGTAGGATCTTATATAGGATCTTACATAAATTCATATATTAAAATCCACATAAAATCCTATGTGTCAAGTAAGAAACTATATAGGATCTTATGAAAAATTATATAGGAAATTGAGACATGATTTGAAGTGGGTTTCGATGTAAATTCTTATAAACGTATTCTTAAGTAATAAATTATGTAAATTCCTATGTGAAATCCTACAATTTTTTCTGATCCCATTTTTTCCTTCAATTTCTTATGTCAATTTCCTTCGTGTTTTCTCATTAAAAAACATACTAAAATTTATTGCTCAATCCTTAACCAGAAAATTTCCTCTATCAAATCATACATCAAATCTTTTTCGATTCTTGAATAAAAAATTATTACAAAAAATCTGCCATGAAATTATATTAAAAATCCTCACGTGGGATCATATATATGATTGATTTGAACATAAGAAATCACATATGATTTCATGTAGATTCTGAAATATCTATATCTAAGATTTCACATAGAATTATATAAAGGAAACAATATAGGATTTCATATAGAAATTTTCGGTTGGCAGAGGGCAATTTATAAAAATTAAAAATTATTTAATTAAAAATCAAATAATATTACTGCAATTCATCTTGAAGCAGTGAACTTTGTTTAACGTTCTCATGGGCTCCTAGATGATACTACCTGATTAACATCTATGAATTTTTGATAGTATTAATTTCCGTAGTCAATTAAATTTGGTCATAGTGGGGTACAGTTGGGCGTGTGTCTAATTGAATCGTTATATCGGGATACTGAATACGAATTAATGATTCGTCTTTCGTGCCTCGTTGACGATTCAATTTTCAAAGCGGCTGCGCTTTTACGTGCCACGGCCAGGGACACGGAAAGGTGGAGTATTTTCTAATTGTTCGGTTGTACTTTTATTTTAAAGATAATGTTTAAATTAGTATTTTATATTTGTTCATAAAGTGTGTCCGTTTAAATCTAGTCTTAACTACAATTCATTGGGATTATCGTGATCATCCTACGATGGGAATGAGCAACCACAGAATGGTGGATATGGTAGCGTCACCTGGGGCTCCCCAAGAATGGTAGATCATCGAAAAGCAACTAAAAATGGTTTCTGGAATGATACCCGAACATACCTTCATTTTACTCTATGAGAAATGGATGAGTACCTTTAACAATATATTACTTTAATACCCAAGTTGAATTAATTTTAAATTTGTTAGAATTGATTGATGTGAGAGCGAATGACCATTTGTGGATAAGAGGGCGAAAGGTCGAACTCATAAAATTTATTTGTTTTTGTTGATGTTATCGATATTTAGAAGGTTTTAAGTCAGTAAAACACACTTAATCAAGAACACAGAGAAAGTTTATTTGGCACGAAATCAATCGTTTGGTCCATTACACGAGAGTGAGAAAAAGGCAGATCGCGCAGAAAAAAGCGAACAAGAAATTCGCAAGCACATGGTCGTGACGTAAGCTCGGACTACATGAGTCAATCGAGAGAAACGCAGAACATTTAAATAGGATATTTTAACAGTTTTGTCGATTGTTCGATAATAATTTCATTTGTCTGAATTATTTTAATTATTTATTTATTTGTATGTGCGTATGTTTGGGAGTTGTCAATAATCATATCTGTAATTACCTGTACAGAGAAATTTGTTAATATTAAATTATATTTGAGCGTGTTATTTTTATACTTGTTGAAATTATTAATAAATGGACGGTTTACATTATTTTTTATTTTGTGATTTATTATGATATTGCAATATATGTTTACTTTTATTGTGTTTAACGTTCTTTTTCTTGTAAAGGTTTTTAATATTTTCAATTTAATTTTGTATTTATTTTATTGTCGCGGTTTTTCATTTTTAGGAACTAAAAAATCGTTACAATCTGAAAAGAAAAAAAATTGTGCTTTGCAATACACCTTCTGAGTTAGAGTCTCAGCTTTTATAGTATTCAAGACTGATCTCAACTGTGAGAAAAAAAATTATCACCATCTGGCGGCGTAAGAGTGGAACTATGATAATCTACATCTATATTGGAATTTCCCATATAATTTCCTATATAATTTCCTACATAATTTCTCATATAACTTCCGACTTGGTATCTTGGATGGACAAATAAAACAGTGAAATCCACACATGACATCCCACATAAATTCCTATATGATTAATTCTTACATGAGATTCTATGCAGGATCCTATATAGGATTTTATGTAGGATCCTATATAAGATCATACATAACATTTTACATAAAATCCTATATAGGATCTCATGTAAGAATTCATCATACAGAAATATATATAAAAATCCATGTAAAATCTTATGTATAATCTTATATAGGACCCTACATAGGATCTCATGTAAGAATTAATCATATAGGAATTTATGTGGGATGTCATGTGTGGATTTCACTGTTTTATTTGTCCATCCAAGATACCAAGTCGGAAATTATATGAGAAATTATGTAGGAAATCATATAGGAAATTTTATAGTAAATTCCAATATAAATGTAGATCATCATAGTTCCACTCTTACGCCGCCAGATGGTGATAATTTTTTTTCTCACAGTTGAGATCAGTCTTGAATACTATAAAAGCTGAGACTCTAACTCAGAAGGTGTATTGCAAAGCACAATTTTTTTTCTTTTCACATGAAATCCTATATTGTTTCCTTTATATAATTCTATGTGAAATCTTAGATATAGATATTTCAGAATCTACATGAAATCATATGTGATTTCTTATGTTCAAATCAATCATATATATGATCCCACGTGAGGATTTTTAATATAATTTCATGGCAGATTTTTTGTAATAATTTTTTATTCAAGAATCGAAAAAGATTTGATGTATGATTTGATAGAGGAAATTTTCTGGTTAAGGATTGAGCAATAAATTTTAGTATGTTTTTTAATGAGAAAACACGAAGGAAATTGACATAAGAAATTGAAGGAAAAAATGGGATCAGAAAAAATTGTAGGATTTCACATAGGAATTTACATAATTTATTACTTAAGAATACGTTTATAAGAATTTACATCGAAACCCACTTCAAATCATGTCTCAATTTCCTATATGATTTTTCATAAGATCCTATATAGTTTCTTACTTGACACATAGGATTTTATGTGGATTTTAATATATGAATTTATGTAAGATCCTATATAATATCCTACATGAGAATTTTCAGTACTGTACTATAGTATAGTTGTCATGGTAGCACCATAGCAACTATATTACCATAGTAAGTTTCTATAGCAACTGATACCATGGCAACCGTTTCTATAGCAACTGTTACCATGACAACCTTTTGCATAACAACCGTTTCTACGGATTTTTGTCTTTAGCAACTGTAATATTTTTGGTTCTCAAAATGTTGAATTTTTTAACTTGAAACCAGTTTTATTTAAAAAATTATACAAACCTTATTTTTGAATATGCCTAAAATTTTGTTAGATTTTTCGTATCTCTTTTCATTTTCGACATATTAAAAACATGCATTTTTAAACATTTTTAAATTTTCTTGATGCAAAAATGACTGTGCTTACAGTCTTAATTACCTACCCTAAATATAACAATATATATACAGCTCTAAAATTAAATAACTGTGAATATGGGAGTAATTACTGTTTCCAACTCACCACTCAAGTAGTACGTAATATTACAGTAATATTATCCGATATTATAATTGTATATTATAGTAATATTAAAATGTCCGCCTCATGGTAATATTACCGGTTAATATTACTGTAATAGTAACCGGTAATAGTACCATGAGGCGGACATTTTAATATTACAGTAATATTACGTGCTTATTGGGCACTGTATTAAGGGTCATAATTACGGTCGTATTTACTTTCGTATTTACTTTCGTATTTAAGGTCTTTTTTCAATAATTTTTTCCAATTGCTAGAGCAACACATTGCATCACATTTCTTCTATGTTGTATAGTGACGTCTGAAATTTTTTATTTCTAGTATACTACAACATGATCCTCGCAAATAAACGAAAACCTCTAGTAGACGGTTTTTCTAAACGCATATTTTTCTCAAAGTAGACGATTGTTCTCCCCAATTTCTTTGCGCGCGTAACATAAAGCGCAGTGTTGTCACTTAGATGTGTATTAGGCATATCATTTCAAATTGAAAGGCCGTATTTCGTAAGGGGTTATGGAGTTCGAAAAATACATACAAATCTACACATTTATAACCCCTTTATGGAATACGGTTCCTCGAAAATCACATTTCTTGAGACGTTAAACAAAAGTAATTTAAAGACAGATTATGAAAGACGCAGACAAGACTACGGAAAATGTAGAAACAGACGAAGATTCGATAAGCTCAACTAAACTCTTTACAGTAAAATGAGTATAGTAGAATATGTAACGATATACTTTATTGCAATTTTTATAATTGAGTAAATTAATATTTCAGATGCTCCAACAAAAGCTTTAACACCAAAAGTGACAGCATATGTACTGGAAACATCAGTTGTATATCCCTTCGCTCAGAAAAATGCATGCGATACTCTAATAAATGGAGAGTGTCCTTTGAGTAAGGGAGATGAAGTGACTTATTCTTTAAACATGCCAGTACTCTCAGCTTATCCCAAAATAAAATTAAGCATTCAATTTGAATTTTTCGACGATAATGGAAACGTTCAAGTTTGTTTCATTGTTCCTTCCAAAGTTGTATAAGTAACAAATAAAATGAATATGTTTAAAATTCACCCAGTGGGCACAGGGATGTCATTTAAGACGTCTATTTTTCTTCGTAGACAATTATCAAATATACAATCTGGTTACTAATTAGAGATGCCCTAAAAACGTCTTTCGCCCAAGTACAAAGAACGTCCTTAAAAAGACATCCTTCTGATGTCTTTTAATCAAGTGTGCACATTTATTTACAAATAACTGTAATGTACTTTTTAAAAATATCAGACTGAAAATATGTACGAAATATAAACGTATTTTTACATTTTAAAGAGTATTTATTAATTTAATGTCATTGTTATTGTAAATAAATACATTATTAATAAAAATAACCAAATAAATATGTCTCTAATTTTTATTAATAATATGTCTTAATATGTCTCTGCAACTGATTGAAAGATAATAAAAGTTCTCTATAAAACAAATTATACTTCATAATTATTTCAACGCCTTCAATTCATAGAATCCTTATTGAAAACCGAATGCAAGATAACACTGTTATCTCATGTCTATAAATGGAAAATATAGTTCTTAAAAGTGTGTGATATTGGTAATATTGTAAATAGTAAATATATTAACAGTTTGTACATGTTAGTTCCGGAAAAAAACTCAAGGCTAGTACATTTCAATAAAACAAACATTGCAAAATTTGTATGAAATGCCACTCATTTTAGACAATATTTTACGATACATGGACTATTTAGCTAGAGATACTGAAATAATTTCAAATGTAGTTCAAGGAGCTCTTTTTAAACAAATATCTTTAAGATATCCTCATAGAATCATAATATCAATAGATTTATATTTCGTTGATTATAAAAATAATCCATTAGGATCACACGCTGGGTAATCATAAGTTAGGTGCAGGTTATTTTTCAATACTTTCGCTACCACTAGAATTTAAAGGAAAACTAGAAAATATATTTTTAACTTGTCTTTTTGTCAGCTTCGATCGGAATGAATATGGTAATGAAGCAGCATTTAGACCTTTACTTGAAGAATTCCTAGATAGCACGGAAGCTTGTAGCAGTTTTCTGTACTATCTGGGTTAAAATTACTAGAAAAAGAATTAATTTCCAAAACAAAAGATGGAATAGATATATACGTTTTTCTAGTACTAATTAATAGCAGATAATTTAAAAATTCATCAACTTGGTGGTTTTGCTCAAGGGTTTTCTGCAATTCACTTCTGGAGACTATGGAAATTTAAAAAAAGGGATTTTCATACTCAAACTAAAGAAAACGAAAGCTTATTACGAACTATCGAAGAATATGAAAATAATGTCTCTAAAACCAGAATAAATGAAAGATGCGCTTTTAATATTTTAGATTTTTTTAATATAATTAAAAACGTAACATTTCATATCATGCGTGACATTAGAGAAGAAGTGATTCCAACTGATATTAATTTCCTAATTTTAAGACTGATTAATGAGTCAGAAGCATTCATATTAGAAGAATTGAACAATCGAATAGGAGGATTTGATTTTGGTGTTGTAGATAGCGGTAATCGCCTACTATTCATTGATAAAGATAAATTGAAAAATGGGAAATTGTGATTTTCGACTTCGGAATATTTGAATTTAAAATATTTTAGTCTGATTATGGGAGACAAAATAAAACCAAGTGATAAATTTTGGATTTTACCAAGTAGCAAGTAATATTACAGTAATATTATCATTTTCGTGTTTTTAATTCATTCTTTAGAAATTACTTAGTTCTAAATTTGATTCTCGTAATTTTTTTTTAAAAAAAAGTCCACATAAAAATAGGTATGATAGGTAAAATTAATTATGTTTATAAGTATATTACAACCATTGCGTATTTGATTACTTAACATTTCTGTATTGTACAGATTTGTCAATTTGAAGAAAATTAACATGATGGCAATAAGAAATGGTTGTGGTGCTTATGAATTTAATTTTTCGAGTCAATTTTACCTGTTATTAAATATCAAAATAATTTAATTTTACGAATAATATATTTATTAAAATCTAGGGTTTCTTATAGATTTTCATTTAGAAATCCATATACGATTCCGTGTTAGTTTTTTTATTTTTTTAAATCAATTATTTCAAAACGATGATACAGGTAACAACTAAATAAAAAAATATCACAGTAAAGTTTAATATTATTTTAATTAAGATAATGTTAATAATAATGTTATATTATTGTGTGTTCATTTTTTAGCAATTTGTATATTTTTTATTCAAAGAAAATTACAGACTGAATAAAGTTTTCAAAATTAGTTATTGACTCTGCCGATAAATTTTTTATTTAACAGGTTCTACTTTACATACAGCCTGAAAATAAAATTACAGTGCATTTTTATTTTTATATATTATATAATCTGAGTTGCAGATATAAAAATATCATGAAAAATAGTATTTAATGTAATTAAATAGAGTATAAAAAATAATAAATAAAATTATTTCCTCCTGTTGAGAAAAATTTCACACAAAGCTATCTTGATATTTGTTTTTGTTTGTTTATTACAGAATGAAGCGTAAAACATAATATCGGTTTTTTATTATTGTTCCAAAGAACGATCCACAATTTGGGCCTAATTGGAGTAGGAATATCTGTTGGTATTGGAAACTTTGTATTGTACGTAACACGATCTCCAATCTTCAAAGGACATTTTCCAACTTTCAGCGAATTACAACCAATATTGTCGGCAATAGGAAAATTCTTTTGATATTTGTAGACCATAACTGTTAGAGTTGGCATCAAAGCAGTTGATTCTTCACCTGAAAACAATTTTCGTAATGTATTTGATACTATCACAGAAACTTTTAAGGTATCAAAATAAGCTGCAACGCTTATTTTAATGCCTTTTAATTTTCTGTGATATAAAACACAGATTATTATTATAATGATTTATATTTATCAGTAAAGTTTGATTTCAAATTTAAATTTTTTATAATTTTAATTTTTTTTGTTTTCAATGAAAATTAAATTTAGATTTGTGAGTGTAAGCCAAAAGAAAAGCACAACCAAGATATGTCTCCACCACTCTTACCACCTCTTTTCATAGTACTCATGGCTGAGTTCCAACTCCTGTTTCTAGTCTTTTTGGGTAAGAGTTACTTTGGCTTCGGTTACTGTGCGAAAGACGAATTTGAGTGTTCTGCGTATACTATCACATATGCAATGTAAATGCGTTGTATGCAGCACGTGTAATCGTAAAATGATTATAATATGCTTTGTTGGTTTTGAATGGATTTTATTCAAGTATTATCGAAGTCATTTAATACATATAGTGATTGTAACATACATAAATAGTAATTTTTATTAAAATAATTTGGATATATTTTACTTTCATATTCTTTAATTCTGGACAATTTTGATATTTTTATATATTAACCTTAATTTATAATATAACTTAAGTTATATAATTAATATATAATATCGCTTAAGATAATGTGTTGGGAAGTAGAGACAGTTTTGAAACAGCCCCACATAGCACGACTTCTTGCTGTGAGGTTACTGTACCCAGATAACATTCATGCGTCTCACGTTAGTCGCATGTCAGGCGTCGCATTTTATGTCTGAATTAATGCACCTTAATTACGTGCATTGAATTCGCATATTAGTGTAACAAAATGCGTCACATTTGAGAGTTCACATGTGTACATGTAATGCCGACAGTTACGTGCTCTTAAGTCGCTTGTATCTCGCATAACGTGTGTCGCATTTTCGTGCACGCATAAAAGTACCTTTATTACATTCATGTGAGTGCTGCTTTATAGATGCATTTCGTGCGTGCTGTAATGTATGTGGAGTGAGCGTTAGTCTGTGAAGTGTCAGCGTTAGTATAGATTGTGCAGTCAGTGGATCAACAGTTCAATTTGTTGTGAAACAATATGTGCGCTACCCGGCTACCGGCAATCAACAATTTGGCGTTATTGTTTTTAGTGGATATATTCAAGTAAGTAAATTATATATATATATATATATATATATATATATGAGAGATTCTTTTTCAATCGCCCCAGCCCAAAAAGTCAATGTTCTGGGATTGGCTTCATACTTTGGTAAATTGTTGTCCTATATGATAGTAATAAATCCCTAAAATATAAACTAATTAAAAAAATATTTGTAGAAAGTAGAGGGGGTTGAAGTTTTGACGTTAAGGGTAACATTGTCATTTTCAAATCCGTTTAACTATGACAAAAGTTAATGGATTTTAATTTATCTATAATGAATTTTATTGCATTTTTCACGTACTTTTCAAAAATGTATACGAAATTTAAAAAAAAAAATTTTCACCCCTTTTTTTCAAAATCAACCCTTATTTTTCAATTTTCACCCCTTCGGGAATTTTTTTTATTTTCATTGGAAAGCTGAGGTTTTTTCCCATGAGCTTTGTAAATATGAAAATGGGACAACAATCATTTTGTGAGAAACAGAATATTAAAGCAGGCGGTGTCTACCTAAATCCTCGAAGATGATCTTTAGGTATACCCGTTATCGGCACCGCCTACATTAATATTCTGTTTCTCACAAAATTATTGTTGTCCCATTTTCATATTTACATAGCTCATGGGAAAAAACCTCAGCTTTCCAATGAAAATAAAATAAAAAAAAAAATACCCGAAGGGGTGAAAATCGAAAAATAAGGGTTGATTTTGAAAAAAGGGGTCAAAATTTTTTTTTTTAATTTTGTATACATTTTTGAAAAGTACATGAAAAATGCATTAAAATTCATTCTAGATAAATTAAAATCCATTAACTTTTGTCATAGTTAAACGGATTTGAAAATGACAATGTTACCCTTAACGTCAAAACTTCAACCCCCTCTACTTTCTACAAATATTTTTTTAATTAGTTTATATTTTAGGGATTTATTACTATCATATAGGACAACAATTTACCAAAGTATGAAGCCAATCCCAGAACATTGACTTTTTGGGCTGGGGCGATTGAAAAAGAATCTCTCATATATATATATATATATATATACTAGGTTATAATTATTAAATACATTTTAGATTCTTATAAATTTAAAACAAAGGTTTATATGTTTATATTTTCATCAATATTTTTTTTTCTAAAAAACTAACCTCAAAAAATTTGCTTCATTGATTACAAATTTTATAAATTTGATGAAATTATTAAATAATTATATTTTAAAAGCAACTTTTTTTATTCATTAAATCTAAACATTAAAATTTATAATATTAATAAATATCGTGTTACTTAAATAGTATTTTAAATATTTTTTATTTTATTAAAGAGTGTCGTCCACTATCTTATTATGCATTTTAAATTAATATTATAAACTTTTATCAATAAGTTTTTTTAATTTTAAACATATGTACTATAAATTTTAACACAAATCCTTTATTTAAATTTTATAACTAAATTCTTGATAAATTACTATATATGTTATTTAAAATTGAAAGTGTGCCTGCGGTGTTGGTGACTGTACCCATTACCCTATTAGAAATAGAAATTTAAGAAATAATTGAGTTTTCAAAGAGCAATAGCTAAAAATTTTTAATTTTTTTATTTAATTATTTTTTTCAGTAAAATATTTGGTACTTTAATATAAATAAAATTTATTTGATACAGTTTTATTTTATCGGTTCAACTTCAAATAAAGTAAATTATTCATTAATACAAATAATTTATTATTTAATGCTAATACCCATATTTAACTTATAAAAAATTTTACGGCGTCGAATATTAAATTATGGAATTTCTATTTAGAAAAATTGTATAAAGTGGATTCTATATTATGCAAAATTTTCGTATCGAAGAATTTACGTTTAACTAAAATTCGATTTAAAAGAATTTTCATTCGGCAGAACTCTTATAAAGTGTTTTTTTAATACATATTAAAAATTTTAAATTAATATAATTTAAATTTAACGAAATTTATGTTTATAAAAATTGACAAAAAAGAAATAAATAGAATTTTTCTTAAATGAGAATTCTGTTACCTAAATAAGAATTAGTTCAAATTAAAATTTTCTTTAAGAAAAACTTTTTCAATTAAGAATTTTGTTAAATAGAAATTCTGTTACACTAGAGTCTCCGAAGAGAGGACAGGAAGAGTCTTGGACCTCTCTACGGAATTCGTCCTTGACGCCGAAAATTGTAAACACTCCAGGGCCGTATATAGTATCACAGAGATGTGTTTTTTTAACAGAATACATTCTATTGCATAATATGTTTAGAAATTCAAAAAAATATTACACGGTGAGCTTCGTTTAGGTTCAACCTAAACTGCATGACCCTTCTCAGGTTTTTTTTTATATCAGTTCGGTGATGCCTCACGATCATTTTAAGACGAAAATTAAAATAATCGTTGGAGGGAAACTCAAATTATATTGATTTTTAAATTTTTTTTCTAGGTTATTGAAGATATTTTCATTAAAATACCGTTTGGTAAAATACTTATTGCTTCAAAAGCTACAATTTAACATAAAAATAGATTATATATAATAATTAAACCATTTTGATACATAGAATTAAGAAAATGTTTAAAAATAGTCGAAAAAACTGAAATTTTTCTAATTTTTTAAACTTTACTCCTTTATTTAACGTTATTTCAATAAAGTCATGTAGAAGTGAATTAAAGTACATAAAATTTCCTGTAAATTAAAAAAAAACTCTTCTATCTATTACCGTTACAAAAATATGGTCATTTGAATTTTAAATTTAATGGATAAATAGTTAAAATTTAACATTAGGTCTAGATTATTTGGTAAAATTGTTTTCGCAGAACTTCATCTCAATTCCATATTATAATACGTATAAGAAGGTTTAATCTTGAATAGTTTCAAATTGAAAAAACTGACTTATCTCACTTACATCGAAAGTTACATTGGTTTAAAGAATGTCTATTTCTATAAGAGAGATTTGAGTAGTTTTTAAAAATTCGTTTATTTTGAAAAATTACTTTTTTTTTGAAAATATTTACTTTTTAAAAAAGTAAATATTTTAAATATGATTATGTTGCATTTTTCAAAATAAACGGATTTTTAAAAACTACTCAAATCTCTCTTATAGAAATAGACATTCTTTAAACCAATGTAACTTTCGATGTAAGTGAGATAAATCAGTTTTTTCAATTTGAAACTGTTCAAGATTAAACCTTCTTATACGTATTATATTATGGAATTGAGATGAAGTTCTGCGAAAACAATTTTACCAAATAATCTAGACCTAATGTTAAATTTTAACTATTTATCAATTAAATTTAAAATTCAAATGACCATATTTTTGTAACGGTAATAGATAGAAGAGTTTTTTTTAATTTACAGGAAATTTTATGTACTTTAATTCACTTCTACATGACTTTATTGAAATAACGTTAAATAAAGGAGTAAAGTTTAAAAAATTAGAAAAATTTCAGTTTTTTCGACTATTTTTAAACATTTTCTTAATTCTATGTATCAAAATGGTTTAATTATTATATATAATCTATTTTTATGTTAAATTGTAGCTTTTGAAGTAATAAGTATTTTACCAAACGGTATTTTAATGAAAATATCTTCAATAACCTAGAAAAAAAATTTAAAAATCAATATAATTTGAGTTTCCCTCCAACGATTATTTTAATTTTCGTCTTAAAATGATCGTGAGGCATCACCGAACTGATATAAAAAAAAACCTGAGAAGGGTCATGCAGTTTAGGTTGAACCTAAACGAAGCTCACCGTGATTAATTATCATTTAAAAACGGAATGTTCTTTATGTAAACAAAATTTATTAACACATATCAATGAAATAATAATTAAATGAGCCAAAAAAGTATTTTTTAGGGTTCAACAGTTATTATAAAATTTTTAATTGTTTATAATTTAATAAATTAATTTTTAATTATAAATAATTATTTAATTATTTATTTAATATTATTTATTTATATAATATTTAATATTAATTATTTAATTAATCTCTTTTAATTTTCCTATTTTATGTTACAAAATATTTTATTTTTCATTATTATTGAAATATTGTTGTGTGAACAATTTTCAAATTTTGTAATTACAGGTATAAAACTAATTTTTTAAATTTATTAATAGGAATTAATTTTAATTTAACCCTTTTGACAGAAGCTAGAGTTAATAGAAGATTTTTTAGTTTCAAATTATAATTTTTTGTCAAATGTGAACAGTAAAATAAGCAAATTTTTGATAGAAAAATAATTCGAATTTAATTTCTTTATCTTTAGCAAAATTTTTTTTATATATTTCTGTCTTATTTTTCCTTACACTGTTTTTTAATAATAAATTACAAAGTATTATGTTAATATTTGTGAATTTTATTGGAATATTACATTTCTGTAATTTGCAATTTTGTAAATAATAAATATATTTCAAGTTTTTAGAAAAATTTATTATAAAATATAAATATTTTACATAAATTCAGAGAAAAATATATACAAAAGAAGTTTAATTATAATACGTTTTTATGAAAAATTATTCAACTTAAACCTTGGCATTAAATTTTGAAGACTTTTGACTCTCTATTATTTTTTTTACTTCGTCAAAACATATTAATATTTTATGATAATTTTCGGGTGTAGCTTGTTGACGAACATAACTTTTAAAAATCTGTAAGCCATCGTAAGCTTCTGAAGGTGATATTGCACCCTTCTCGAGAAATGCATTTGAACTATTTTCAGCTTCTGTGACTGTTTCTTCGATTTCTTCTTCTTCTGCCACTCGATTGTTTTGAATAAATTTGACGATGTCTGATTCTGATAATGGCTCCCAGCCACAGTCTTCGTCTTCAGTTTCGAACCAGCTGCGGAACACCTCTTCCGAATTTTCTATGAAAAAATTTGGTTGTGAGCAAAGGCGAGACAGATTGTCACTAATTTCTTGAGGAATTGCAATATTAGCAAGATCCTCAACCTCAACAATCTCTGCTGAATGAACATTTTGTGTAGAGTTGTCTAATGGTTGTTGACTAGTGACTGGTTGACAAGAGTCACCTAAAAGACGTTTCCAAACCATTTGCAACGTCGATTCTTTTAAACTATTCCATGCTTCATTTAGAATTGGGAAACAGTCATGATAGTTTAAATTTTTTAGGAATGTATCAGCGCCTTCTAACTTATCTGCGAATATTAAATTTTTCAGCAAGTTCTTTTTATAGTACTTTTTTACTAGTGATATCGGTCCTTGATCCATGGGTTGGATCAAGGCCGTCACATTGGGAGGCAGATAAAGTACTTCGACGTTTTCGTTCAATGCATTTAATTCCTCGAGTGGTGGATGCGATGGTGCATTGTCAAGAATTAAAATAATTTTTCCTCCAATTCCTTTTTCACGTTGGAAATTCAAAGCATTTGGAATAAATATTTCCTGGAACCTGAAAAATCATAAAAGTTTAAAGAAAATTGTACAGAAAATTAAATAAATTTATAAATTTATTATTAGTAACTTATTATTTTTTCAAAAGTAGTTACTAGCCAAGAAGCAAAAAAAACCGAACTTAAAAAAATTAATAGGAAGAACTGTTTGATATTTTTGTTATCTACTTATTCAATTTATTTATTATTTATTTATTATTTATTTATTATTTATTTATTATTTATTTATTATATATTTATTATTTATTTATTATTTATTTAATTTTTATTGTGTGAATTGCATGTAGTATAAAAAGTAATATATATTAAATTAAGAAAATTTCAATTACCATAGCTTGAATATCTTCTGGTTCATCCACGCGCTGTTTTGATGTGTATAGGTGACCCCAAGCATTTCCAAAGTTTTTAAGCTATCTTTTCTTTTCTCCTTCGGTATTAGATTTCGCAAGCAGTGTGGAACATTTGATTTTCCAATGACTAATAAGGGGATTCGGTTATTTCCGCGAGCATTTGAACAAAATAACACTGTTACTCTTTCTTTTCTTTCCTTGCGCCCGGAAACTTCTTTTTCTGTTTTTTGCGAAAGAGTGCAAGACACTATTGTCCTCCAATAAAATCCTGATTCGTCGGCATTGTACACATTGTCGATTAAAATATTTTCGGAAACAATTTTGTCTTTTAAAAGCATAGAAAATTCGTCGGCACTTTCCTGATCGTTTGAAAGTTTCTCGCCTTTCATTTCCACTGATCGAATATTGTAACGACTCTTAAATTTTGCGAGCCAACCAATACTTGCCTATAACAAACATAATAATTAATCAATTTTACTTGACTATTTTAAAATAAATATTCATTTGAAGCAAATAATTTTTATTTGAATAAAAAAATGAATTTGAAGCAAATAATTTTGTTTTTCAACAATTTAGCGCAAACAATATTATGATTAAAATTAATTGTAACCAATTTTACAAGATCTTATTATGCATTTTTCAGGAAAACGATGTTGACTTAAAATTTTTATTTAAATAATTAGTTTTTTAATATTTTAATGTTTTTTCTTTCAGCTCAGACAAAAATCACAATTTTTTGTCTGAGTTGAAAAAACATTAAATTGTTAAAAAACAATTTCTTAGTTTTGAGGTTATGTTAACGTGTATCATTCCTCCTTGAAGTAAAATTCATCTTATAAACGTAAATAATAATTATTTAATACAAAATGACATTTATTTGTAAAAAAATAGAAGTTTTTAACTCAAAATTTTCTACATTATTTGTCAAGTAAAATGCAAAAAAAAATTAATTTACAGTTCCAAAGTGAGTCATTAATTTGCTAATGAAAGTTAATTTTTAATGAATTTGAATTTTAAACAAAATTAAACATCGTAAAAAAGAAATTTTTTAATGTAAAAATAATCAAAATATAGTTAAATTTAACTATAATTGCTTATGCAAAAAGAATGAAAAAATTGCTTTGAAATAATTCAACTTTAGATACATATTACATTTCAAAACATAACCTCAAAACAGAAACCTATAAAGATATTTACATTTACATACTGTTTTATGTACTCTAAATGCACTTTATTTGATAAATTTGACTTGTATCTTAATAGTTAAAACAATATATATGTACTTACTTTAAAATTTGAAGGTCCATTCAGTTTTCCATTTAAAATCAGGGCTTTTTCCCTAATAAGTGGACCGGACACCGGATCCCCTCTATCCCTAACTTGCTGGAACCATTCAATTGCAGCACTATCTAACAGCTCGTTTTTTAAATGCCTAAAAACTTTTCTTTGTTTATTTTCTGGCTTGCTTACTTTGCTCATTATTTCCGATTCACTTTTTATCAGGTTATAATAAGCATTGCGTCCAATATCATATTCTTTAAAAATCACTTCTCTGTCAACACCAGTTTTTATTTTTTTCAAAATCTCACACTTTTTTTCTACGTCTAAAAACGTTTTTTTTTTTTTCCACTCATTTTAAGTAAATTTTGTCATGTAAAATACTACGCGAGAAAGGTACACTAAAAACAAACGCTCCTGAGTTCACGTTCCTCTTTCTGATCCCGCCCATCTCTTCCCCCCTCACTCCTTACCGCGCCGCGTCACCACTTAGTCCTCTCTTCAGAAGTCCTCTCTTGGGAGACTCCAGTGTAATTGTGGATTTATTACATGAAAATTTTGTTAAGTAAATATTTTAATAAATCGAAATTTACTATAATAACAATTCTGTTAAAAAATGGTTCTTTATGGAATTTTTGTTGTCATAAATTCCGTTAAATTGAAATTGAATTAATTTGAAATTCGATATACTACAAAATCTGCCTTATGTAATTTCACTAAATAAAAATTTGATAATTTAAGATTTGATGCCGTAAGAATTCTTTTAAATTAAATGTTGAGAATATTTGTACGTCCTCAATTAGTTTATTTATTTCACTTAAATATTTTATTTTTTACAAAACTTTTAATTTTAGACGTTTTAAAAATGATTTAAATGTTTTTGCTCGGAATTTTGAAATTTCCAGAAAATAGATTTTTGCACAAAAGAGAAGAAGAAAGGTACAATTCAGCACAATATTTGTTACTTGAAAATTTTAACTTCTTATATTTAAAAATGTTTTTTGGTGTTTTTTTGAAAATTTTAATTTTAGATGTTTTAAAAATGGTTTCTTAATTTTTTGCTCGGAATTTTGAATTTTTCAAAAACCGAATCTTTTTCAAATTAGAATCAAAATATTTTTTTCAATTACGACTGTTTTGGTTTATAAAACTGAATAACATTTTGAGAAAAAAAATTAATTTCAATTTTTTTTGAAATAATAAAGATTTTTGTTCCTTGTGATGATATAATATGTCTGATAATAATTGGAAAAATTTGTTTTTTTTGTGCTTTAAAACACGTGTGTAAAAAAAAATTTAATTATTTTTTAAAAATATTTTTAAAGTTAACATGTCCACCCGACAATAGCAGAAACGTGATTTTCATAAATTCATCAAAAATTGTATCTTGGATGTTACTGTGAAAAAATAAATTTCAACTGATTTTTTTATTAATATTTAATAGCCAGCATCCCGACCCTTCCGCAGCAGAAAAGTAATTTTATCAAATTTGTCTTTTAAAAAATGTCTAATATATAAAATATTTAATGAATACAATCTTTTTGAAATCAGGAATTGTTGCCAGATTGTTACTGTGTAAGAAAAAAATTCATATGATTTTTTTCTTATTATTTCATAGCTAACCGTAAAAAGTTACTGCAAAATATCTCTTTTTGTTTTTGGCGTGTCATATCATAAATTTACATACAATAAATTATTCAATAAAAATATATAACTTTATTTGAGTTATAGATTTATTGTTTAATAATCCAATAATTTTGTGAATTGTAATTTATACTCGCACTTGTTTAAATGAAAACTTTATATATAAAACTTTAACTTGATACGGAAATGTAAACAAGAATTGGGAAACTGTTTTTGAAAATTCAGAGTTGGGCAAACAGAAATAAAACCCACATGTATCACCATATTTTTAAACATTTTAATAAAGAAATTTTTTTGTCCATTTTTTTAAGTTTATATGTTAGCTGATTCTGACTATAACTCCATATGATCATAACTTCAACTTTGAATTTTTGCGCGGCAATTATAATAGTGAAAGTAAATAAAATTTTTACAACATTTTAACAATCAGAATCAGTTATAAAATTTTTTTTACAGTTATTAAAGTGAAGTGGTTCAACTTTGAATTTCGTGGTCTCCATAAACAAATAAACAATGGGTAAATATATTGCTTTTATTTATTAACAAGCATGTAATAGTTAGGATTATAATGTTAATTTTGCGTGAATTTTTCTAAATAATTTAGTTTTAGAAAAATGATTTATTTTTAAGTTTTTAAAAAAGAAAAAGATAGAAGAAGAGAAAGAGATGGAAGAAAAGAAAAAGAAAGATCAAGAAAAAAGAAAGGAAAATGAAATAGAAAAATATAAAATTGATATAAAAAGAAGACCAAATAGAAGGTACATAACAGAAAATTTTTTTTGATTATTTTAAAGTTTTGCTATTTGCTTTCGTTTGAATCATAATTATTTTTAAAGGAAAAAAATTAGCTTTTTAAATTTCAAAAATATAAAACTTTTTATAGTTAAGAATTGATTTTATTTAAAATTTAAATTGTTATTTTTATTACATTACTGGGATCACAGATTATCAATTTTTCTCTTTCGTTCACTAATTTTATATTTTGTCACCTGGGTGATTCTCTCAAAAAGGACAGTCAAAAGGACATTTGTTCAGAAATAATAAATTTGATTGAAATTATTAAAAATTCTGTTAGCCATACGTTAAGATTTAAAATTTTCAATCGGATCACTAATGAAAAATTCAAAAAAGGTCAAATAACTGAATTATTGAATAAAATCTATTGTTACGAAGGGGACTTTTAACGTTACTTTTCATTAAATAATTCAGTTATTTGACCTTTTTTTGAAATTGTTATTAGTGTTTCCATTGAAAATTGTTAAATCTTATCGTATTTCTGGCAGATTTTTATTGTCATTAATTTCGTTTTTTAACCAAAATACCGTCTAAAATCGTGCACCCTTTGATTTGCCTTTTTCATAGAATCAACTACCTACTTTATCTACTTTGATAATATGTTATCTATTTTACCCTTTTTTAAATTTTTTTATTTTCAAAAAATTTATTCATTTAAATTTTTTTTATATTTTTTATATAATTTCAAATTACAAAATTTCTAATTTTTTTATTAATTTCAATTGTTTGAAAATTATATGAATTCAAATTTTTAACGTTTAATACTTTAATTTTAAAAAAAAAATTCTATATAATTATTGTACTTATTTATTTCATAACCGATAACGTACTGCAATTTTTTTCTCATCTATTCTCGTAATGTAATTAACCGTTTTACCTATTTTAAGGAAAAAAGGTACTGTGATCCCTGATATTAATATACATATTACTTCGTTACTTTTGTCACATTATTTCTTTTTCATTTTGTATTATGAGTGCATGTACATTTTGATGATGTTTTTTTTAATTCTAAGGATTGTATTTTGATTCTTTTTGTTTTTTATAATTTGACCTAATTTATGCAATGTTTTTTTTTTAAAATCAATAATAATTTTACATTTTCATTTTTTTTCAGAGAGCAGCAAAGGTTCCGGAATAAAATTTAAAAAAATTTTCAATGGGAACAGTATCGCACACAAACATACACTCAACACAGAAACCCTTATCTAAACACGTATCACTCACAACCGTTCAATCACCATCATTCGCAATCATACTCTCACCAGCATTCAGATTATCTTCAACTGCGCACAAACAATCAGCCACAAACACACACATACAATCATCTACAACCATGCACACACAATCAACCACCACCTTGCACACACAATCAACCTCCACCATGCACACACTATCAACCTCCACCATGCTCACACTATCAACCTCCACCATGCTCACACAATCATAACCAATTCCAACCATACATAAATCCAAATTGCTGTTCAAGACACAATTAATTTTATTGTGAAAAAATTTAATACAATAAGGAATTATTTGTAATTTAATTATAATTATGAAATTTATAATATTATAAAAATATTATAAAATAATTTTTATTTATTTAATTTTCTATATTTGAGGTTTTTAAATCTTAGTCTCTATAGATCAAAAAAGTTGTCTTACATAATACGGTTCATTAGTTTATTATTTCAGTAATTTCATTACACAGCCCCACAAAAAAAAAAAGTGTCGTGCGCGGCAGACCAGACTAGTCATTTCCCATGTATTTTGACGCGCTGAACACGAATCCGAAGTCCGTTTTGCTCCATCACGTCAGGATTTTTTTCTAACCTCCAAAAACCTGTCGGATTTTGAGAGGTAGGCTATTTTTTTAAAAAATTGATGGATTTACTTCAAAATTGGTATCTAGGGGTTTTTTGGGTCGCTGATGAAGAATTTGAAGTTAGATTTTCAAAATTCAAAATGGCGGCTCCAATATGGCGGACGAATTTTGTAAAAATTGATGGATTTACTTCAAACTTGGTATCTAGGGGTTTTTTGGGTCGCTGATTACGAATCTAAAGTTAGATTTTCAAAATTTAAAATGGCGGCTCCAATATGGCGGACGAGTTTTGTAAAAATTGATGGATTTACTTCAAACTTGGTATCTAGGGGTTTTTTGGGTCACTGATTACGAATCTGAAGTTAGATTTTCAAAACTAGAAATGGAAATTCTTATATACATAAGTAAGGTATTTACGTCTTTTTATGGTAGCGCACTATTTTGTCCTCAAAGGATCTGTGTAATGGTTTTCTTTTCAAATTGGTGCCTCCAGGTACAATATCCCTTTTCAGCATCCAACAGTAGTTGGCCATCATATTTACATCCCATCTTCCTTGATAACGACGCTCAAAATCTTTCAGATCTTGATGGAATCGTTCTCCTTGTTCTTCACTGTAATCTCTCAAATTTTCAGGGAATTTTGAAATTAAAATTTTTTGAAAAACCTGTCTTTTTTGCATTATTTATTAAAAAACTTTATATAGCTTTAAAATTATTATGCACAACTTGGAGAAAATTTCAAAACGAAAAAATTGATACCTAAAAATACAATATAACACTTTTTAAAAATTATTCTAATACAAAATAAGTTACCATAAATTGATCACAAAAAATCTCGATGAGGAAGCAAAGTTTTCATAAAATGAACACAGCAAGTTAATACTTCAACTGGGCAGCGGTTTATAACAATTCTGTTAATAAAAAATCCTCTTGTATAAAA